TTTACCTCTTATTATCAGGCCATCACCAAACTGACCAGTTTCATTCAAGGCTTCCACTTCACCTCCATCATAGTACAACAGTCTTCTGTGAACCTATTTAATTTGTTGTAAAATTATAGTTACAACAGATTTTCTGTCAAAGTAGCCTAGTAATTGTTATACCCGGTATATGTAAACCCACACTATTGAGAGTGTATTTGAAACTTGTACCGTGAACAAAAATAAAATTAAAAGATTCTGCCAGCAGTTGCATTGCACAGTGAATGAATAAAAAAAAGGTCAATGCATATCACATGACATTGAAATGATCATTCTAGTGAGTGTATTTGTCGAGAACCTTCATCAGATTCTGCAATAACTCGATTGGTAAAGGCTCTACCTGCTGTGGGTTGATGTTATGGGTTTAAATCCCATCTTTGGCCAACTTTCTCAGTAGTTCAATAGGACTCTATCTCCTTGTCAACTCCAGACACTGAACCTTGAAAGCTGCACAGTTTTAGCCAAGGTTGCACATTATGTTACTGTTATCTGTAGCAATTACACTCCACAGATCCATACAAGTGTGGCCAGTACTGTAAAATACTTTATTTTAGCTGGAATTAATTTTCGCTGAATAGACTTTTTGGATGTTTTGTATGGATTTTATTTTCACTGTTTTTTGACGAGTTGAATGTAAAATATAGAGAAAAAGGTATTTTCGCTGGATTTTATTTTCACTGAATCGTTCCTTCAGCGAAAATATCGAAAATTAATTCCAAGCGAAAATAAAGTATTTTACAGTACCAAAATATGTATACAGAAATAATGGTTGTGGTAAAACAACGGGTCACATGACCAAAAGTGGTATAATCACGCGAGTCTAAATTGTAGCTGGTCCAGCAAAATGTTCTATCAATTATTTTAAACTTACCATGATTTCTAGAGATCCATCCTGTATGCTACTGCCACCATGTGATCTATCTGTGACAACAGTCAACTGTGTATTGTTATCCTAACAATTCAAAAATAATTAGATTAGACTGAATGATAAATCTGAATGTCACATGACTTGTCACATGACTTGTCAATATAGTGTTATGGATGTGGAGGAGTGAATAACAATGAACACTTGCATTCATAACATGAATGCAATAGATGCTGACATATTATGGGATGTTTCAGACCAACTTGAACAGGCTTGGTCTAACCTTGGATTGGACAGGTATCTTATCTAATTCATGTATATTTTGGATCGTTTTATACTGAACTAGTGGTCTGGTAAATTATGGTTCAAGTCCAGTCCAGGACTAGCATGGTCTGGTAAATTATGGTGGAAGTCTATTTTAGACTGGACTGGCTCAGTCTGATCCAGGTCACACTGGACCGAACTGACTTGGGTGAATCGCTTTTCATGTTTATTTCAATATCTTACCTTGATAAATATCTTGGTGTTGATTGGATAATAATTGCCAGCCACTGGATCGGTATTGATATATGGAAAAGTATCACGATGATTTCGTCTGGTAAAAACAAATTACAAAAGTACTGAAACCTTGACTGCTTTCACTTTACGTTCAATACCATGAACACCATCATCCGAATTGATGAGTTGATGGAATATATACACATTTCATTAATTACAAAAAACTGAACATAAGAGTCTGGTATAGTTATTCTAATTGAATAATAAAGTCTCTACCTTCTTTTCATTATTTGCCTACCATTAGAATCCGTATAAAAAATACCATCATTTTTCAAAGAAGTGTCAAATCGACTGATAATTTCCTTGCCAAGGCCATCCCTGCAAATATAAAATTACAAGTTTGGTTACAAATTTGTAGAATGAAAACAACAAGACATTCCTCAAAAAATTATAAAAGTCGAAGCCATGGTTTGGTCATCAATGATGTACACATGGAGGAGCTACTTCAAGATGGGAATATTTGTCATGAGTTGAATATATCAGGATGAAAAGAACTTTTTCAGAAGAACTATTATATACTGTATTTACTCTATTGTTAGTTTTTGTGTGCTGCTATTAGATATCCGCTTCTACAAAAGTAAATATGGCACATTGCTATAGAACCAATATAGCAATATGCAATATTGAATAAATCAGTACATGTATTATTGCATATCGTTTAAATTCCAGCAAAAAAAAAAATTATATTTATCTCTAATACTACATACTTAAAAGGTATAGGTCCCACTGTATATTCAAATTCGGCATGCTGTTGACCTTTATACAGCCTAATTACTTGACTCAATCCCGGCCCAAATTCTTGTTGAACCTCTTCAAACAAGTTACTCTGTAACAAATAAGTCATCAATCAAATTTTAGCGTTTACACTTTCGAGTTCAATTTTCAATTGCAGTGGTCATTTCACAAATGGTCAAGATGAATATTATCTTCCAGTGGTGCACCCTTTATTCTGCACAAGCACCAAGTAATCTTGAAGAACCATAGCCTAACAGAACGATGTAGTTTTTCACTTCCCCACCGATTTGTTGTCGGTACCAATCAAATTGCAGGAATGTCAGATAGTGACAGCGATCAGAGAGTAACCATTCACAGCAGAGTTTATTTGTTTGTAGTCATAATGTGTGATAAGATGCTGTCAAATTTACGCCAAATGTTTATCATCTCGTTGAAAACAATGCAAACACGCCTTTGATTGACGGTGATACCATGACCACCAAAATGGATATTCCTTGAAACTCATTGCAAGGAGGCATGAACTTTTGCTATTACACTATTCTGTCAGGCATTTGTAGGGTCTGATGCTGTTCAACCGATGAGGGCGACACTCATGCCTACCGTATATGTCAGGCTAGGTGGACCATAAATTCATGTCAATCTAGGAAATGTACTGTTTGTGAGAAATAGTACAACCCTATAAATTTATGCCAATATATCAATATTTTCAGTTTTTGTAGTGTATAACAGCTGTACCACAATAATTTGGTCAATTTGTAATAATAACTTCATGTAATCATATCTTTATTATGATGTTGATACATGTATGAAAAATACAATACAGGATGCTGTTGAAATAACAAAGAGTCATCATAAAAAAATAGAGCAACAATAAAATGAAATATGTTTTTTTTTTTTAATATATCAAATGTTGATTTAAATAGATCAAAACATAATCTCAGACTTGCCTTTAAAAAGGTAAGACTGCTAACTCCCTAAAAAACAAGCTTTATATATTTAAATTTAACTTTTTTAATGGTAACATACATGTATTGTGTGGGTTGACTTTATTATTACCGATATATCAAAATATACATGTCTGTGGGTAAAATGGATAAAGCACATTTCAACTGTATGCATTGTATCCGTTGCATGGGACCCATATCAAACATATGGAGGCAATTACAATGCAGTATGCATGACTGTGGGGGAAGGGTGAGGTTCGGGTCTTCTCAGTCACGGAAGTGAACACTGAAACGGACACGTCATGTAACTGGAACTCAATCTCGTTTATTCTTCAACAACAACGTAATACAGATGTTAACTCGTAAACAACTGGAAAGCAACTGCTCAAAACGAGCGCAAAAACATACAATGTTGCCGATTGCCAATATCGCGTCAAGTAACAATTTGTAGGGCGGGAGGCGTTCTCATTGCCCGATTACGAATACAGTGTTTACTCCGACGTTCGGAACAAATATTGGCCAAATTACAACTGGGTGTGCTAGTTTCTCATAGCATTACATGCAAAAAATGAAATACGAAGAAAACATGGTTATGAATAAAAGATCAATAATTCAAATGAATCTCCCCACAATGACCCAAGATGTCATCATTTCAGTTTCTCCCTTGATTTACAATCTCTAAGGACACCCTCAATATTCTAATTTGTTTTCCCATAATTTTCAAACATGACATGGCAATACATAACAATATGCCTTACCTTAAATACTTTCAGATTGACGGTAGTATCAAATACCGGGAATGGTTTTGTACCATTGGGTCTGAAGATGTATGGGGAAGATGAAGAATCAGATATGATATCACCAGTACTGCTACTGTACCAGTAAAACATTTGCCTGACTGGTAACATGATGTCATCGTCCATATTCTTGATTGATTTCAGTAAACCTGTCTTGCCGTCAAACGTCAAACTGAGATGATTATTGCTTATTGTAGTGTCATCTATCCCAGCATGCACTGCTCTTGTCTGCAAATTACGATATTCTGCAACAAGTGAATAGATGACAAATCAATACTTGCAAAATGAGATTTTTTTATATGAAATGTTATGTAATTAGTAATTAATTAAATATGTAATTAGGAGAGCATTATAATGAGGAATTTTGCATCAATCAAACTACCAGTAACCATTAATGTTGTTGACAACTCATACCAACCATAGTGTATGTTTGCCTAAAAATCTGATTTCATAACATTTCATAACACTGCTTTTAAAAAAACAGTTTCTTTCAGAGTAATTCTGTTTCTTTAATTGGAATTTATTCCTACTGTTTTTATTCCAGCATCTTCAATTCAACTGACATTTTCAGTTGACAATCAAAAACGGAATGTCAAACTTTCTGAACTAATAAAGTAATCTATTCTTTAGTGAACATATGTCTTACTGTTTTTAACCGTGTCCATAGTTACTGTATATGTACTGAACCCAACAGCAGGAATATTAACTGGGAATATTAATTCATGGCTTGCATTTCCTCTTTGCTTTCGAACATGTTGTGTTGCCTTGGTAACCTCAACCACCTAACCAAAAACATAACTACTTTAACATGATGTATGTTGCCATTGATGTATACAGTAATATGAATCAATTTACATTCTTAGATACTTCAGATGCAAAAACAAATTACGATTCTATCATATTCAACATTATTATTGACTATCAAAGTATTTTATTTTATTTTATTTTCAATGAATAAGCATGAATTGCATTTCATTTTCATTGTGAATGTACCTGATACTTGACAGTGTTGTCATCTGGATCTTTGATAGAATAATGCATCCCATTGACAGGTAGTCTGATATATTTTAAAACTTGATATGCTAGAGGATTGTATGCAGTCACTGTAAACTGTAAAAGTTACTGGAGTTAATAACATGATGACTTGATACATAACAATCTATTCGGAATAGATCCAGATATACAACCCAATTGCATACATACTCCTCAGTTCCAGCTGGTAATACTTTTTTTCATTTATTCATTCATTGTTATTCCATTGTTTAAATTGAAAGAAGAATTTGTCAAAAGCTTGCATATTTTATCAATGTTCTTCCCCAGGGGAAGTTTAAATATTTGTCAAATTATCAACACAGGCTATGTCGAATAACAAAAGGTGGTGAATCAAAATTTATAAATGCACTGATATGTCTGGAGAGTTGAGGATTTATACATAAATGCATTTTTACTGGGAATATCAAAATCCTTGATGCAGGCCTACTTTTTGTGCCAAAATTCTGTTGTCTTCCATTCCACAGTCGGTATGACAACATTTTTAAAACTTACCATCTTTAGAGTTTCCGTCACGTGGCATATACTTATGTTCAGATTGTTACAGAATTCAAACTGTAGTGATGGCTGACTTGCGTTTATTTTAATCAACTGAGCAATACCATCATTTTCTATTTTCTGGAAAAAATATGATTGATATATTGTATACAATTTTGCTTTCATCAAAAATGTTTCCGTTCCATTTCTTGGAACAACAAACAGTTCCACGCTATTCTCAATTTGTATCATATTTTCAGTTATTCTACCTCATATAAGTTGTCTGAAATGACCAAAAACTAGTTGTCATGATTATTGTTTTCATAATGTTCTTGTCATATCACAAGACAAAAAATGACAAAAATATCCCCTAAAAATAGAGAATTGAAGATAATGTTATGAAATGAACAAATCTGAGAGAAGTCTACTGAAGGTACCGACATATCAAGTCATTGGCTTGATAGAAAAATTGAAAATACCGGTAGTGTTGACAACAGACCTATATGAACAGCTCCACTCTGTTAAATTTGATGACAGCGTGTTAAAAAGTGGTATTGCAAGTCAAATGACAAATGTTTTTATTTTATAATATACTTGCATTATGCTCAATTAATTCACCAAATATTAAAATATGAATGTAGTTACCTGGCCTTCGTCAATTCCTATAGCAAGTCGTTTAGCGTAATCATTGGCCACGTGTTGTTTTTCAGTGCCGCTGAAATATCAAAACAATTACCTTTATTAATGGACAAACCTATGCTTTCTGCCATTTGGAAACTACCGGTAAATGGCTGTCAAATAGTTTTAATAAAGTTTTTGGAGATAAATGTTTACTTACGTGACTGCATCATGATGCTGTACAATTCCAATGGCGTCTTCTGAAATAATTATTGTACAAATAGTAATAAATTAACATAAATAATTAATTTTAAGAATGTGACCAAAATATTGAATTTTATCTAAGATAGAAGGAAAAGTGTCAGGAAAATTATAAAAAAATTTCATTTTTAGATAAATAATAACTGACTATCATGCTTGCTGTTCTAAGTATCACATGTTGTTTTTGTGGGTCAGATAAATAGATAATATTTCACTGGTGTTCAGTGCATGTTTGTATTATAGGCATTAAATATTGCATGACTACCAGGATGATATCGACCAAATGTATGTGTTTAAACTTCAGTCCAAGCATGACAAAAATGCATTATGGCTACAAGCTAGGTTAGTATAGTTTAGTGTTACTGTAAACTGAGAACAGACTTCTCAAGGTAGAGTGAACCAAGTGAGTATTGGTCACCAGATCCGGGAGGAGAATAACACACTGGAGAGGAGCACTTGTAGCCAAGGTGTTTCTTGCTCAACTGCTAGGCCTGGAACTGAGTCTAAATACTCACGAGATGTTCCATACAATGTATCAATATCATTATGCAAATAACTAAACTAAACGTCATAGCTTCAAATCATTACAGTTACGTACTAAGAGCAACAGGATCTGCACCCACACCAGATACTGCCTTGATTTGTTTACAAGTCTGGAAAATAATATATCGTTAGTCTTCGATATTAGTAGTGCTCAATTATTCAAAACAGAACAGAATATGGATTAAATAAAATTCAGTGCACTGTAAACAAATCATGCCTCAACTCATCATACCATATTCATATACCTTAATTATCAGAAAAATGATTTTAAAGTTGTCAATATTGCATCATAAATCAAGTAAATATCATTTATTTTAATTTTTCTTCAATTAAATGTACAAGAAAAAAAGATGCCCCTGAAACATAACACATCCAAAGACGCACACATGTCTTTTCTAAACTTTCACAGAATAAATTTACATGAATTCTTCTATATTTTTTCAACAATGACATTCAATACCCGCATCCAGCATGAAATTATTTCCCTTCAGTGCAAAACAACAAAATTATAGAAAATAAAAAAAGACATTACTACAAAATGTTGGCAGAAAAAATGATCACCTTCAACAGGTTGATACCTTTTAATGTCATAATTTTTCACACTCAAATTTTGGTGCCAAAAAATCACAGATTTTATGTATTTTTTGCAATTTCTTTGTTACCGGTAATTTTGGACCAAATGGCCATAATTACCAACTAACTACAGGTATTAATCAAAATTATTGAAAAAATTGAAAAAAAATTGGGTGGGACATGTATTTTCTGAAGGTGTCAAAAAGTACCTGTAAGACTTTATTAGCTATTCGTATGTATCCTTTCAGAGCAGGTCTACTAGTATAGAATCCAGTCCAATAATTGAACGGACTGCCATACGGGAAAAAATCATCTGTCTTACTACTCCATGTGACATCAGCTTGATTCAATGCATACAAATAACATGCAGGAGATGAGTACAACACGTGTACGTTTGTTTCATTTTCCTTCATATTCACATACTTCAGCAATTTATCCATGTTTTTAAACCATTCATTCGCATTTTCATAATTGAAATCATTTCCCATAGTTAACATGATGTGGTTGGTTTGGAAAGATTTAGCCTAGAAAAAACAAAACAATAAATCAATGAAATTATAACAGAACAATCTTTCTTTTAAATGATAATTTTGGTAATATTTCTGTTACTGAAAAAAATTGTATGCACATGGAAAAATATTGACCATAAAATCAGCCAATCAGCGATTATATCAGATATCACATGATCCAAAAGAGCCAATCATCATACCTCTTCTTTCATTAACTTGACAAATGTATCAACCCTTTCATCAACATTGTAATCAAGTAAGTCTTGATCATCCTGAAAATGAAAACAAAAATATCAACATCATCAATAAAATTGATGAAAACAAAATAAGTACATATTTGTAACGTTGGTTGATCATCACAGAGAATATCAAAACAAAAACTATCAGGTTACATATTTGTAACATTGAATTTAATTGGTTAATACCTGAATTGGTTGATCATCACAGAGAATATCAAAACAAAAACTATCAGGTTACATATTTGTAACATTGAATTTAATTGGTTAATACCTGAATTGGTTGATCATCACAGAGAATATCAAAACAAAAACCATCAGGTTGTCAATACATATTTGTAACGTTGAATTTAATTGGTTAATACCTGAATTGGTTGATCATCACAGAAAATATCAAAACAAAAACCATCAGGTGGTGAATAATGATCATAGAAAGCACCATAAAATAAATCAGCGGCAGATGACAAACTTTGACTGGCATGCCACATTCCTTCCAGTCTTTTGTCTGCTTTACGCAGTAATCTATCAGCTGCATCTATTCTGGCAAAAAACACACCATCAAAACCCATCTGAAAAAAGGTAGGAGATACATTACAATAACTGTTAATGGTGTAGATTTAAAAACACAAAAAATAATGCACCCTGGGTAATTCTAGTGCTGCAAAAATATGCAGAAGCTAGCTTATAGGTATAACGCAAATCAAAGACGACAGTTACTCAAGTAACTCATATGATCTTCAGCTCCAATTTTATTTAGCGAAATATAAAAATGGCTGCCAATCAACCTTATTTTATTGTATGACATAGCACACTGATGTTCATATTGCTATTAAATGATAGAAAAATTGTATTTCTAAAGATGCAATTAAGATATTATTGTGTAAATCATCATGCATCTCTTTGAACATGTGTCAATGTATATATCCATGACACATTTTTAAGACACAATTACTTAGTGTCAGCTCAAATGTCTAAAAACGAGGACCATGTTAAGCATTTTTTAATTTTAAAATAGTTATAATAATTGTTTTGATTTTGATTTTTCATAAAATTCTAAAAAACAAATAAAATTGTGATAATTTTTAACTGACACAAAAACTGAAAGTCTGAATATTAAAAATGTGGAATCCCACCAACCATAGCAAATAAAGCTGCTTGTTCTTTAGAATGACCGAACACATCAATCTGCCACGCAACTAATGGACGTGAACAATCTCCAAATGTATCTTTGTAAAAATTTCATTCCATATGCCATGTTATCAATAATAGCTGTATAATGAGTGGCTGCCTCATCATTCTGTGACCATCCTCCACCAGCAAACTGAAGTTGTCCTACAAAAAACAAATATTTTACAGTAACTACTGCTGATATACAAAATAAATCTTTAGCAAGTTGAGAAAAAAACTTCAAAAAAAAATTTTACATATAATTTACAGAAAATCTGAATATTAATTAGCAAATTTGCATAATAGTTGCATGTTTATTAGCAAAATATTTTTATCAATCATATACCAATAAAAGTTTAGTTCGCTGTGGATAAAAAAAAATTTAAGCAAAAGATAAGGATGTCTTGACAAGTCATTGCAATAATTGCACAACTCATGAGTTGGGTTCTTGTGTTGCTTGTCTTAGTTGTCAAAGGAAGAAATAACATTGTTCTGGACACATGGACTACCTTTGTTAACTAGATCTTTAATAATATTTCTCATCTCCTCATTTTGTTGACGCCACCAACGCATGAAGAATGCCATTTCAACATACACAAACTTTCGGTGACTGGACCCTTGCAATAATCCAACAACAGAATCTAAAATATACTGAACTGATCCATAATCAAGGACTATCTGTAATTCTGGAATTATATGCTGATTGGCTGAAAGATGAATGACATAATGCACATCATGGGAGATTAATACAGTTAATGATTTATTAACCCTTTTCAAATGTACAAGTCACACTTGAATTGGCAATAAATCAACTTGAAAAGAGAAGTCAATGTTAAAATGAAGTTAGTTCATGTGTATACTTAAAAAATATATAATGCAGATATTATTATAGATTACTTTATTGAAGAAGCTGTACAAAATGGTAAAACTCCCATGGTGCACCATACACTGATCACCCGTTAACATGAGAATGCTGCACTGTTATCTACTGGTAGGCTGTATTGATTCCCATGATGCACTATGAAAGTAAGGTTAATTTTTGTCATCTTTTGCGGTTTTAGACCAATAATTTTCAAAAAATGTTGATCAAGGTACTGGAAAATTGCTTTCATCTTAAATCTTAAATTGAAGAAGAAATTATAAAAAATTGTTTCACAGAAATCTTTTCCTGTTAGATTTCTCTGTATGCACATAAACTACAAATAATGGCAACATTGACTTCCCCTTGAATCAATAAGTCATCACCTTTTATCACTAAATTCCTAACTTGCTCTTGTACACTCTCTTTCTGCTCCTTCCACCAACGATTAAAGAATGCCATTTCGGCATATGCTAATTTTCTATTTGGATTCCTTTTGAGTGATAACATGATTGTATCAAGTATGCTCTGTATTGACGCATGTTGGATGGAGTTATTCGCTGAAATCAAACAACAAAAATACTATAATTGAAATGTGTAAACTGTAATAGAGATATTATAATATAGTTTTTTAATCAGAGATTAATCTAATAGAGGTAGAAAGAACAGAAGAGAGCAGAAGAGAGCAGAAGAGAAGTAGATTACTACACATTTCGAGGAACAACAAAATATAATATTTTTATTTCTATTTTATCATGGACGTTCCACATACAGATTGTGTGTTATGATTGGTCATCAACATATACATCGCATTGGTCAATAATGCACTCCACTTACATTCTGTGTAATAACTGGTCAATAAAATACACCACATATAGATTCTGTGTTATGATTGGTCAATAAAATACACCACATATATATTCAGTGTTATGATTGGTCAATAATGATCTCCACATACAGATTCAGTGTCAATAACATGATCATGAAAGACTGAATAGAATTACAGCGTCTCTCACTTATGACGGAATTATATATATATATATATATATATATATATATATATATATATTCCCTTTTGTGAATAGTTAAGCAACCAGTTTGTGAATCCTCCATCACACAACTACATACGTTAAATTATTTGTTTATGAAACAGAGATGGTTTGAAAATAACTTTTTTTGACCAATCGCTTCTCAGTTTATGTAAGGAAACAATTAATGGTCTCTAAATACATAGATGTTACTAATGACAGTACGATTGATGGATTTAATTCAACTTTACATTTATTGATAATATAAGAATTAATATTTAGTGTTATAAATTATCATAATGTCATTACTCTGATAGCCTACCTCCATAGTAATACTGATCCACTGTTTTCAGCCAACCCACATCATCATGTGTGTGGGGCACAAGATGAATATTGAGTACAGGATTATCTTTAGTTTTCTCACAAGCCTAGGGGGTCAAATAAAAGTAATGACTTAAATCATTTTTATCATAATTTTTATTATTTGGGAGCAAACAGTAATATTTGTTATCCAAAATTAAAAATGCTAGTGTGTATCTTTTATCAGTACATAATAGATAAATCTGGGGTGTATTTGAGTTTTTCATGATTTTAATATTATAACAGTCGTATTATCAGTCAACAAAAACAACATTAAACAATAAAACATAATTATTCCTATCAAACATATCAAACAAGACATAAGATGTCATATAGTACCAGTACAAGATCAAATAAGTGACGTTGTATTTTAATATTTTATGCTTGATTAATATTATAAAAGACAGTGGAGGGAAATTTTTTTAATTTGTTGTTCATATTTAAAAGCAATTTATTCTATTAAGTGTCAGTAAAATACATATTCCAGTATAATTTGCCTTTGTAACAATTGCTAACAAAAATAGTTCCATGTATGTCAAAATGCAAAAGAAAACATCATTTCACTACCATTTTAGACCTGAAATTACCATTTTTTGCACAAACTATCACCTTAAAAGTTGTCAGTAGAACATGAATTCTATTAATATGTTTTGTATTTGTGCCAATATTTGAATAAAATTGTTCCATGCATATGCAGATACAAGAAAAACATAATTTTTAAAACATTTTTTGCCAAAAATTACCACACTGTTTTACAAAACCTAAAAGTGCATGGATAACCATAAAATGCCAGTAGAAATGTATACCATTCAAATTTGAATTTGTAGCTGTTTTTTTTTACAAAAATGCTTCATGTATCATTTTACAGAGAAAACATCATTTTCACTCCATCTTTGACAAAAAATGACCATATTGTGTCCAAAAACACTACCTAATGGTGCATAGACTACCAGAAATTGTCAGTAGAAAATTGATTCCATTATAATTTACTTTTGTACCACTTTTTGAAAAAATTGTTTTAGATCAAAAATGACTATTTTTTTGCACCCATTTCCACTGTGTCGATGAATCAAAATAAAAACTTGATGTACCGGTACACCTGTCGACCAGAATAAGTTACCTTTATAAAAATAATGTCAATGAAATTGATCTGTGCATGTCAGAGATACAAGAGTCTTAGCTGATAGTTGGAAAGATGGACTGACGCATGACAGAACCCAAAATATAATCCCCCTTTCTTTCGGCCTCTGTCTGGCAGAAGCTAATTAAATTATTTTAAAATAAGTTATCAATATTACCTCTTTATAATAAAGTGAGAATATTAGAATTGTGTGCAGAAAAATTGATTTTATAAATATTTAGTAAATCACTATATCACATAGACTGTGTGCAAATCCTGGATGCAATGTACAATCAGATATATATTGTACTGTTGACCTCTGAATGATCTCATGATGTGAATCACAGGCG